AGTTCTAATTATACAGCTTTGCTTATGAGATGGTACTCATAAACAAATTGACTTTTTTAAAAATTATATGAATTCTCATTTTATCAATTTTGTATTCATTTTGAAGACTAGATTTCTGGTGTACTAGTAAGTTAATGCCTAAAATGTTAACCAAAAGATTTATAATATTCTGCTGAGTACAGTTTCTTTAAATAATGTGATAACTGTGATTTCAAGCTCTCTTCAAATCTCCAGTATCCTCAAGGTCCTAAATGAAAAATATGATTTGAATAGGACTCACAAATAAAGAGAATCATGCACAAGATTGATGGCTACCATTTTTATAAAGGTTAATATCTGATGACTAAAATTATTATTTGTTTAAATCAACTTCCTCTTTTTTCTAAGTTTTTCTTGATGGGAAGTTTTTACTATAAAAATTATACCTTGTTGTAAGGAGAAATTATAGTGATATTCTTGTAACGATCATACTAAAAAGTGGGTTAATCATGGCCTAATGACCATATTCAAATATGATAATGTACTACAATGACAGTAAAAATGGCATCACAAAGTCCCTTATAATGCTACAAAATCAGAAGTAAAGGAGACTCAACAAAGATTGTGGGGGAAATGCATCATTGTCGTCGTCATCATCATCATCATTTCAACAATAATAACTAATATTTACTGAGCTCTTACATGGTACCAGACACTGTTCTAAATTATTTACAAGCATTATCTCATTTAATCCTCAAGCTGATGCTGCATAGTAACTCAGAGACAGACCCTTCTGGAGGCTGGAGAAAGGATGCCAAAAGTCTTGTTCAGGAATCTGAGACATCGCCTGCTTTCTCTCCCAGTGAAGACGGGGCCTGAAATGGGCTTTCAAGAGGCATAAAGCCCAGTGCTTGTGAACACTACCTTAAGTGAAGAGTATAAACTGTTGGTTCTAATTTCTTCTGGAATGTTGATGGAAGCTCAAAAAGACTTGTGACACAGCTATAAATCAGATATCTTCCATCCAGCCTGGACAGCCAATGTCAGAGAGTTCTATGCCCCTCAGGGAACCCAGGCCCAGGAAAATCAGCCTAAGGCATGTTCTGGAGAGCTACTACAGATCCAGCAAGTTCTATAAGCTTGGCCACACTTACTAGCAACTCACAGAGGTATGGCTATAATGCCTCTTCTTGTCAGACATAATCTCTGAAGCAGGGTGGATAGGTTGTATTATTATTTCCATTGCAAATGATGAAACAGACACAGGGAGGTTAAGTCACTTGCATAAAGACTATATGGATCATAAGCTACAGTTCCAGGGGAGGAAAACCATAGAATCGTAAAACTGTATCCATTTGCATAAGTCAGACCATTATTCACAATAGCCAAAAGTATAAGCAATCCAAGTTTTTGTTGATGGGTGAATGGATAAACAAAATGTGATGAATACACAATGCAATATTATTATTTAGCCTTAAAAATGCAAGAAATGCTGACAGTAGGTACTACAAAATGGATGAAACTTAACTAAATGACATTAGCTAAGTGAAATAAGCAAGTCATGAAAGGGCAAATAACGTATGGTCCCACTTATATGAGGTATCTACAATAGCCAAATTCAGAGACAAGAAGTAAAATTATGGTTGCCAGGAGCTAGGGAACAGGCAATGGGGAGTTACTATTTAATGTATACAGAGTTTTAGCTGATGAAAAGTTCTGTAGATGGTTGGTGCTGATGGCTGGTTGTACATCAATGTGGCTACTTAATGCCAGAGCCCAGTATATTTACAAATGGTTAAAATGATAAATTTTACTGGTATGTTGTATATATTTTACTATAATTTTAAATCAAGTTTGTACTTAAATCTCTGTATGACTCCTGGTCTTCAGATTATCTATATAGTTCTGATTTTACAATATTAGAATTCAAATCTATATCATCTTAGTGATGAGATGCACTCAGTAAAAGATTACAATAATGGAATAGAAATAATATACTCCAATGACCTATTTTTTAATATATCTACATATATATTATTTTTTTATTATTATTGATTTTTTACAGAGAGGAAGAGAGAGGGATAGAGAGTTAGAAACATCAATGAGAGAGAATCATCGATCAGCTGCCTCTTGCACACCCCCTACTGGGGATGTGCCCGCAACCAAGGTACATGCCCTTGACTGGAATCGAACCCAGGACCCTTCAGTCTGCAGGCCGATGCTCTATCCACTGAGCCAAACCGGTTTCGGCTTCAATGACCTATTTTTAAAAAATCTGTCCCAGAAATAGAAATTAAGTTGTTCATTCTCAAATATTTACTGAATACCAGTGTACTAGTATATGCCAGGGAAAATGTTTGTTGCTAGGGATTCAACAATGAGGAAAAACAGATACAGTCATACATTAATGAATATTACAAGGTGACATGTGGGGAATGGGAAGGAGAAAACAGACATTAAGCAGATAATACAAAAATGAGTGTTTAAGCATAAACACTAACATGGAGGAACATAACTGGTCTCTGCATGAGCACATCACAAAGAAGCCTGCCCCAGACTGATGGATTAGACAAGATTTGAAACAAGACTGAGAGTTACCTAGATGGGGCTATGAGAGTATTCAGGTAAAGAGGACGGGTCATGCAAAGGTCCTGTAACAGGAGGCAAACCATGGAACCAAAGCAAGGATACAGCCTGGCCAGAGCCCCGAGGACACAGAGGAAAGTGGGCGAGGGACTGGAGAAAGAGGCCAGATGAAAATCCCCCTAGTCTGGTTGACTGGTGGTTGTTTTTGTTTTTTTACCCTAAATGCAATCAAAAGCCACTGAAAGGATATAAGATGGGAGACAGCAAAACCAAAGTTGCATTTTTAAAAGATCACACATAATATTGGAATTAGAGAGGTTTCAGGATAAAATTTCCTCCCTACTAAATCAACACATCCTGACCTTTCCCAGAATCAGACTTAGCACTGGGAGACCTAAGTTTCTAGTCCTGATTCTGTCACTAATTAAATGTGAATCTTTATATGTTACCTCACCATTATCTCTAACACAGTCTATCCTAGACGACTTCTAAAGCCTCAAAAAACTTAAAAAATTCTTTTTCTAGGATCCTACCTTCCAAATTGTTTAGTCTTCTGAGTCCAGGCAAAAGAGAAATCCAGTACCTACACAATCGCCTATTCTCTGAGACTGAAGCTTTGCCCCCGCCATACCTCCCTAACAATGTACATGGCACTCATCCCTCCAGCCACGTGGGTGCAGACAACCAACAGGAAGTAACAGGCTAGCGCATCCACCAACTACTACTTACTACCCACCTTAAGGTTTACTTTGTTCTAAGGAATTCTGTTTCCTCAAAGGGGCAGAGGAAAGGTCATTGTAGTTATTGTTGTAAACTGATGATTTTTTGCCTTTGCATATTGTACAAAGTACACTTTCCTTTCTTTTCTTTATTTTTCACTTTACTTTTTAATGAAACGCGGGTTAAATCTATGAAGCCTCCATGGCTTCAACACTCTAATAATTATAAATATTATTATATACCTTAGACTAGCAGTGTTTGAAATTCACAGTCTAGCTATGAGGAAGTTAGACCTTGTAATCTGCTTATAGATTAAGTACCTGCTCCTAAAAAATTACTGGCGATTTGACAAGTGGCATACATTGATTGCCTTGGATAAATGGATGTGTCAGGTTAGGAGAGCTGAGAGCTCAGTTGCAGTCCTCACAGGAAAAGCCACAAGAAAACCACCTGAGAGGCCACCCAGGTTCTTGCCCTGCCCTCTCTGCACTGGGAGGTCTTCAGGTGCATGGTCTGGTCACCTGATGGAGAAAGGTACAACCTCATCTCTTACCCGCCTGCAACACTGAAAGAAAAGAAAGAACTTGACTCTCCAAATTCAGCTGAGTGATAAATCAATTTTCATTTAAAAGCACAAAACAACCTAGCCTTTCACATGTTCTTTTTGGAAAACAATCAGCAAAACTCATGTCATCAACATATTAATAATCAATTTTTAACCAGCCCCCCTCATTTTTCTAGAATCCCTCAGGATCTTATATTTTAACATCAAAGTGGAAGGCCTAACACTGCTGGGCAAACGGTATTAAAGATGCAGACCAATGCATCTTTTGAAACTTCTCAAAGATGTCCATTTCATGGCACCAAAAAATATAATTTCAACACAAGAACAACATATAGAAAGAGTCCAAGTAAAGCTGAATTTAGAGTAGGTAGAGCAGGAAACCAAGAAGGCATTTAAATATTGTAGATCTTCTTCAGTGCTGCCTAACTCAAGATAGATAACCATAATAATATTTAAATCCAAGCCATTTTAGTGAGAATGAAACATAAGACTAATATGGTAGTGAGAACTCCTCAGTAGGAATCAAGAAATAAATCCAAATCCTATCTCTGAAACCAGTTGTATAAACGGACCAAAACAGAATTTCTTGAGCCTCTGAGTATACTTCTGAAAATAAATAAATAAATAAATAAATAAATAAATAAATAAATAAATAACAATTACAGTAATAAATAATTTAGGATATTAGATGTAATAGAAAAGTGACCTCCAGACTGCTAAATACTAAAGAAAACAAAAGAGATGAAAACACTGGAGGATCTGAAAGTACCTGCCTAGAAGGAACACAATAGCCAAGATATGCTCTTATGTCTACCACACTGCTATTTTGTTTTTTTGTTTTTTTATTTTTATTTATTTATTTTTAAATATATTTTATTGATTTTGTACAGAGAGGAAGGGAGAGAGATAGAGAGTTAGAAACATCGATGAGGGAGAGTCATCGATCAGCTGCCTCTTGCACACCCCCTACTGGGGACATGCCCGCAACCAAGTTACATACCCTTGACCGGAATCGAACCCGGGACCCTTCAGTCCCCAAGCCGACGCTCTGTCCATTGAGTTAAACCGGTTTCAGCCACACTGCTATTTTGGCTTTAAAATTAAACAAGTAGCAGAAGAAAGAACCCTAAGATTTCAAAAAGCATCTTACCAGGGTGATGTCTCGAGAAGCTGCAGCTGCGCTCATATGTAAACTCGGCTGCCGTACAGAACTGCTGCAATCAAGGGCTCGAGCGAATGTCCCAACAGCACTAAATAAACCACAAAAACAAAGAGAGAAAATCAAGACACTGTTAATTTTTTTTATATTTAACGAGACACATTTTGGTAGTGAATGAAAAATCAAGTTTTTGGATGTTTGAAAATCAAGTACCAAATAAAAATAGCATTTTCTATAAAATTTAAGAATTGACAAGCCAATTTACCATATATGAGTCATTATCATTAAATTAAGAAGAAGTAGGTTGTGAGGCATAAAGGAGGGAAAGATCTATTTTGAAACGCCACAGAGTAAACAATTTGGCATTCAAATGTGCTAAAAAACGAGAAGTAAATTAGCTAGAATTCAACATTACTGCAAAGCAGTAATGTTCTGACCCCCTTTTTTAGCCCAAATTGTGAAATCACAGTAACATTTTTTCCTTGAAATATAGTTAACCTCTTCTTTGAGGCCTCAATATATATTTCCATTTTAAAGAATTACCACACTGATTATCATATGATTTAGAAAGACTTCCCACATGTAATGAACCCTAACTTTAAAAAATAAAGCATGAAACGACAATGACTTGCTCCTTGTCTATCTCTCTTTTAAACATGTTAGCTGAGAAAAAGGTTTTAAAATGTTGTCATTAAAATATAACACGTGAACAAAAAAGTACACATAGTACAGCTATGAAGTTATGGCAAAGTGAATGCATCCACGTTACCAATATCCATGGTCAATAAACTGAAGATGACAGCACCCTACACTACTCCCTCTCTCCCTCTTCCTCCAAAAGAACCAAGGTCCTGGATTCTAACACTACACTACAGGTTCAATTTACTCATTTGGGAACTTAAATAGAACTAAATATTATTATGTACTGTCTTTGTGTCCATCTTTTTTTGTTCAAAGTTATGTTTGTGGATTCACACATGCTGCTAGCTGTAGCTGTGTTCATTCACTCTCCTAGCTGTGGCGCATCCTCTGCACGATGCTCCCCCACCTCACGCCACTCTACTGATGTTGGATATCGGTTTCCAGTTTGGATAGGGATCTTTATGCCATCTATGTGGGCCTTCTGGTTAGATGATAGCAGTTTACCAAAGCAGCTATACCAACTCATACTCCCACCAATAGGATGAGGGAGAGATAGAGGGAGACACTGATGTGAGAGAAAAACATTAATTGGTTGCCCTCGCTACCCTCCCCAAAAGGGATCAAACCTACAACCCAGGTATATGTCCTGACCAGGAATCGAACTGGCAACCTTTTGGTACACTGGATGACGCTCAACCAACTGAGCCACTCTGGCCAGGCTCAACATTATTTTTGAGATTTCTCTCTCTGTTACATATAGCTCTAATTCATTCATTGTAATTGTTGTAAAGTAATATTCCATTTTAAGTATTACTGCTTGCTGATGTACTTTTCGGTTTTTTCCAATTTTTCTATTACAATGCTATGATAACCTCATTTCCCTTCTGCTTTGCAGGAGGAATTTAACCAGGGACCTCTTGATTCATGGGTTGGCACGCAACTACTGAGTCATACCACCCAGGCAAACATTACTCACTTTCATAAGTAAAAAAAAATAAAAATAAATTCCTATCCCATTCATTTTATCAAGAAAAAAGGCAAAGAGGTCAGGTAGTGAGGAAGGAAGCCGGTTTGGCAGTCAGGCTTAGAGCTCTGAAAGGAGAGCCAGGTGCTGAGCAGGAGGCCTTCCCCATGCATGGGAGCAGGTGAGAGGAATATGAGGCACGCATTATTCTTGACACACGAATAATCACTGCTTTAAATTAAAGACATGGGATTTCAGGAGTTGAATTTCCTCTTTATACTTTTGTGCAGTGCTTACATTTTTACAAGGTGTGTTTATTTTTTTAATCTATAAAATTTAATAAACCTATTTCATTTTTAAAATAGTAACTAATTATAATAAACCATTTTATTTAGGAAGTGGTGTGATATATATTAGGCTTTCTTCCATAATTAGAAAAAAATACAACCAAAGGAAAAAATCAGAATACAAAGAAAAGATGATATGTATATTCTTTTAGAGAGAGAAAAGATATTTTTACTCAATAGTGTCATACTCACCGTGCTACAACTAAAAACTGGTCAATCTGTCGATCTGTAAGTGGGCTATTTGGGTCCCAAACTTTAACTTCCAATTTTGACTGTTCCCTCTCATCTGATTCTCCTGTCCGAGAGCAAAGAAAATGGAGTCTTATTACCCATAAGGCACATATACTGTCACATATGACTAATGATTGCGATAACCACAGCACTAAAAATGTATGGTAAACGTTCATTTTTTTGTTTTTTTTTTTGTGAATTCTTTCAGACAGCAAATGTAGAACACTTTGTAAAGTGAACACTGATAAAAATGCAACCACACCATATGGTATTTTCATTTGTCATTAACATGTATTTCTTGAAATACATGTTAATGGCATGTATTTATATCCTTTAGCCTCATGCTAAAGGATATAAAAACAAAAAAGCACTACTGCAGAAAGATGCTTAGACTATGATAAAACTTACACATAAATAACTATGCTACAAATGGGAAAAAAACAAAAAAAAAACAAAAAAAAACCACAACCGTAGATGTCATAAGAGACAGACAGATATTGCTATAAAGCTCCAAAGATTAGAGAAATCATTTCAGGCTGGTCAGGGAGTGAGGTCAAGCAGGAGGTGGCATTTCTGCTAAGAACTAAAAGGTAAAGGAGTTCACAGGACATAAGACTCAGAAAGGAACATGAGCAAAGTCAGGGGGCTTCCAAATGTGACAGAAAAGTAGTTTGTTTCGTCAGGAGTACACTAAGGGGAATCCGGGGAGAGAGCTAAGAAAGTGAACTATGAAGATGTTATTGAAGATGCCACAGAGATTTTCTGAAAAGGGAGGTAATGAGAATCCCTTGATTGTTTAGTAGGGGGGGTGACAAGACCAGAATCAAACTTCTCATCTCACATTTAACAACGGTATGTGATTTGCTCTATGGACACAACCGATGAAGACAGAACGACGTGCTATTGACAATGATAACAGACAGCAAAGAGAGATTTAGGAATGTCAGGAACAGACTGGAGGCAGCGGGTAGATTTCAAGCCTAAAAAAAAAAAACAAAAAAAAAAACTACAAGGATGGTGCTGGCATTAACAGAAAGAAGACTGAGATAATGCAGGAAGCTTTGTTTTAGACATAGCTCACAAGGAGATATAACCATCAGGCAGGACTCAATGTGAGGATGAAGGGTAGTAAAGGGTAACAGGTTTGGGAGTTGACTGAAGTTTTGATTTACAGCTATGGATTTCCTATCAGCTAGGGACTGGTTTGGGCTTTGTTTTGCTTTTGAATCACTCCATCTACAAAATCAGGCAGTGCCTTGCACTGACTGACATACTATGAAGCTAAACATCCCTGACAAGCTCAGGCTACGTACCGGCTTCTAATGTGTTCAGTCCTGGTATAGAGGCAGGCAAGCTTCAATAGCTCACACAGAGAAAGAGGGAGGCCAGAATCAGCCATTCTACCTGTAGTCTCCTAAGTCAACCACTGCTGCCAGGCTGGGGACTTGCCCATCCTGCCCCTGTTCAAAGGCAGATAACCAGAGAACCAATCGCCACTCCCAACATAAAGAAACGCAAGCAGAGTAGAAAGAGTACTGGCCAAATAGATCTAAAGTGCTGGGAAGGGTTTCATTTTTCACTGTTTACAATTCTCAGCTGAGCCAAGACATTCAACATTAGGTTCATAGTTAGAAACAAAAAAAATTGCAAACTGTGTAAAGCTTGAGGAAGGAGTATGTCACGTTTACACTTCCCTATATCTTCCAGTAGTAAATTTTAAGTAAGTTAAATAGTAATGATTAAAAAAAAGATAGTAATGATGAAAATAAAAATTTGAGATCTTAATTTTTAAATAATACCAGATAAAATGACAATGCTACTCAATATTGAGCCCTTCTCTGTTATATACTCCAGAACGAAAGGGTAAAACTGACATTTAATTTTCAAATTCTAGTAAAATTGATATTTCAATCCCACCAATCCATTCGGCAGCACACAGCAGAAAGAGAATCCCATATAAGCATTCTAAAATAAATTCGCTGCAAACAATAAGAAAACACTCCTGAATGCACTTATACTAACACCTAAGATACAGATTAATACCATGAAATAAGAACAAAAATAGCAACGACAAAATGAAGATAGAAATGTTCTATATCAAACAGTCACTCTAAACTAAATAAGGATTCCCCATTTTGGATTCAACATATAATAACATTTATTTAATAGTTTGATCACTTTACAATTAAAAACTTTTAAGAAGCTCTTGAATAACTTTATTTGGAATCTATATAACTAAATTCTCAGCTAAGTGTCAGGAGTATTCCTTGGAATGGTCTTGGTAACTGTAGTCTGAGCCAGAGGCTGGACCAAGATTAATTAATTCCATGCTCTACTCCTGTTCATTCCAGTCATCACAATAATCTGACTTTCCTCCTCAATTTATGATAATCTGCTCAAATCTCACATTATCAAATCATCCAGTACATGAAGATCACCCTAATACCTGGATTCCCACTGAATGTATTTACCAACAAACTGTATAAATTGTGAATTACCATCCTATTTTGGCACCAGGGACAAAGGTCAATCCTTTGTCTCCTTAAACACTGGACTAATGCTTCCACCACTGAGATATAAATCACATGTACAGTTTCAACAAAATAAAAAATGGAATCCAGGGGCAGATGTTTTTGAACAAGAGTAATATCCTCATAAGCCCCTTCATCTATAATTCTAAGCTTCTCCATAGTTGTGTGTGTGTTTTTTTTCAATTACAATTTACTTTTAGTATTTTGCATTGGTTTCAGTTGTATAATATAGTGTTTAGACAGCCATATAATTTCAACATAGTAGGAAGTGCCACAGATTTTGAAGCCACTAAATCAGCCACTACTTGCACTAGAGGAAGATATTTCTGTAGAATGTCCATCTTTTTTTTTCTTTTTTTTCTTAAGCTCCCTGTGAGAATACAGGGATTGTGGGAGATTTCCGGATCATGGGAGAAAGTCTTAGATGAACTTCCACACCATAATGGCATTTTCTACTTACCTACTGCGCCCGCGTGAGCTAATTCAAGGACTTAACGCATATGTGGTAGCAAAGAGACTATAGTAATGTAACTCTTTAACTCTCAAAGATAGAGACCTCCTGAAGTTCTCAAACACTGACAAGACTATTGAACTAGTACAGCAGACAGTGGTGACCAGGAGAAAAACAACTGTAGTAGCTAGCAATGAGTGTTAAGAGCTGCGCTAAATAAATTACTTCATTTGGTCATCACAACCCTACTGTACAGGGTGGAGCAAACATAGGTTTACATGTGGTAAATAATACAATAATTAATAAATAAAAATATAAGAATAAGCTTTTTCACACACTCACAACTGTAGACCTACTTATGCCCGCTATATATGTACATACATTATTTCCTTTTGGAAGGGGAAGAAATGGGACTTAGAGGCGTTTTTCCAAGGTTATTCAGCTAAAACATAGTCTGCCAGGTTTTACTCAAACCTGTGAATTCACTCAGTATAGTTTAATAATTTAATGTTACTATACTTTTTAGCAGCCACAATTTTAATTTAATATGTAGATTTCTTTCTTAAATGTTCAGTGTTACAACACAGTGAATTAATCATTCAAAAATTTGCACATTATATTTTTCTACAGAAAATTCTCTAGGTGCTTTATATAAACTCAATGAAGATTTAAAATCTCAAAGAACCCTTTACCTTCCTTTGCAAATTACATACCAATCCAGATATTCAGGAGTTTGTAAGATGGTGAGCAGTCACAAATGAATTTCAAAACTCTAAAGTCACAAAAAGATTTATTCCCTAGCAAGACAAATGCCACAACAATACCTTAGAATCCATTAAGATATGTTCACAAAGAATGTAAGCCTGTAATATATTCTGGCATGGTGCTGATGCTGCCACCTCCTCAGGATATTAATTCAAGTTCTGCAACCCATGCCAGTGCAAACTGGAATCTGGCCACTGATCAAATGTACCCACTCAAAAGCATCAAAGTAAATATGTGTTCTTTTTCTAAAAAATGTTTTCATTGATTTTAGAGAGAGGGGAAGGGAGAAGAAGAAAGAGAAACATCAATGACATCGATCAGCTGCTTCCTACATGCACCCCAACGGGGGATGGAGCCCACAACCTGGGCAAGTACCCTGACCGGCAAGTGAACCAGTGACCTTTCGGTGCACAGGTTGACGCTCAACCAACCAAACAAGCCACACCAGCCAGGCCATAAATATCTTTCTTGAATATGATTTTTTCTACTGTTTAATTTCCCTGCAAACAGGGAAACTAGCTATATATGGAAGTTTCTATAATGACAATAGCCATGTTTTTCAAGTGTGGTTTAACCACTGGCATACCTATTTGCAGCCCAACACACCTCCCTTGACAAAATATTAATTAGAAAAAAGAAAGGGGTCCTTTAAATCTTGTATCTACTAGTAATTGACTACTTATTTATACTGAAAAAAAACATTTAGTATATGTTAAATGCTTTAAGCTAAAATAAGAGACTAAAGTGACTTCTTCAATTATATAAAAAATATGGTGGTTTTCTATGTTAAAGTTGAATACTTACAAATAAAGCCAATAAGTTATATACTTAAAAATAAGCTTCCCAAGTAATGCACAAAATTTACATGACTAAACCTATATATTTTTTAACTCCCACAAGACCCAAAAATGGCCTGAACAAAGGGCAAGACATCCTTGTTTCTGATTAAGATGTTTTAACCTCATCAAAATGCCTGTTCTCCTTAAAATAACTTAAAAATTAACTGCAATCCCAATTAAAATAGGAAAATTGTTATTTTTCCTCTCTGGTGTTTGTCAAGCTGATAATCAAACTCATTTTAAAAAATGGTACAGGGACTAGCCTCACCAGATATTAACACATATCTCAAAGTCTCTATAATTACAACACTGAGTTACTAGAGCAGGAACAGACAAATAGATCAGTGGAACAGAACAGAAACCTCAAAAGCAGACCCACATGTTGTTCAATATTATGAAATGATCAATCACCTTCCAAAGTAATATATAATGTTAATACAATTTCAGTCAGAACTCTAATAAATCTGAAAAAGAAGAAATTGACCAGTTGATGATAAAATACCACAGTATGAGGGGGGAGGTGGGGAATCGTAACAGATGAGACTTTTCCACTAAGAAATTTTTTAAAAAGTAAGGGAAAACTTGCCCAGTCATAAAACATATAATAAGAGATAGATAAAATAAACTTGAATCTCTAACACATAAAACTGCTTGGACTATACTATGTAATAAAACCCTACTATGCAAACTGACCGAACATCGGAACAACTGGTCACTGTGATACCCACTGACCACCAGGGGGGCCAGACGCTCAATGCAGGAGCTGCCCCCTGAGGGTCAGTGCGCTCCCACAGAGGGAGCACCACTTAGCCAGAAGCCGAGCTCACAGCTGGCCAGCAGCGGTGGCAGAGCCTCTCCCACCTAAGGACCCCTCGGGCGATATTCGAGTGCCAGTTTAGGCCTGCTCAGGGGATGCCTGACTCATAGCTGTCTAGAATCATTCCTCTTACTTAGAAGAACCTCAAGTCCGTTTTGAGAAGGATTATAGAGTAAATTATTGCATTTTATGTATTATTGTTTCCTAAAATAATATTTTTTAAATTCTAAGCTAGGTGAATATATTTTGCAAATTACATCACTCTAACTAGACTTTTGCTTTTCAGGGGCAAATATTATATTTAAATAGTTTTTGGATAAATGGGAACTCATGAGATTGCATGACCTATTTTTCTGCCCATTGTTACTTAAAAATCCCAGCTTCATTCCTTTGTTCAGCATGTTTATTTACATGAGCAATACACAAGATTTCTAGACTTTTTTAAATACTTAGGCTTATGTTCAGTCCTCAAGGGAGAACCGCACAATCAATGACTCGGGCAGTACAAAATTGTAAAAGTCAAATAATAAAGATAGCATTAAGGTTTACATGAGCATGAGGTCTGCACAGTTTGAAGAAGGGAGAGATCAGAGTTCAGGGAGGAGTAATAAGGGGCAGCCCAGGATCTGGAGGACTTGGGCTGGGTGTCTGTACACACATGAGCACTAAGCTGTTCCTGGCTTTTGGCCTGTGCACAGATGGATTTATTAAACTATCTCACTAGGAGCATATACATTTGTCAAAAACTCACAGAGCTGTATATTAAAAGAGTAAAATGTACTTCCTACATATAAATTATACCTTAATTACAAAAGGAAAAAGCCCATCTATAAATGACTACCTGGAAGACGGCATTTTGTATAAATTTCAAACACACATGCCTTATAATTTAGCAATTGCACTTTTAGGAACATATTTTCCAATTATATCCAGAGTACAAAATTATTCCTTATACCACTATAGCACTATGTGTAACATTTTAAAATCAAGTTTTTTTTTTTTAATAATAATTTAGTGAACACTAAATGATGTAAGTCTAACATCAAACATTAAGGACTATAAATATCCAAAAATTGTTTCTGGAAGACAAGGTGGTTTGCACAAATCAGAATGTAAGTAAATGCAATCTCCCAGCTATAATAAATTGATATAGTCCAGTTAAAAAAAACACACACATGTCCCAACACAGTTGAATACAGACACAGCATTCTGTTCTCCAACCTTAATCATTACTGACTGACCTTCCCTGCAGCTTGCATTATTCACAGCCATCCCACCTACCCACCACTGACATCAATGAGTCCTACGGTTCACAAACTCTATCCTGAGTACCTGCTGATCTAACTTTTCTGCATGCATATTCTAGAAGGAAGGCAAGGTAGAGAGACGAGCCTATGGAAAAGCTCATATGCTTTAATAATCAGAGGGAAAAAATAAAAAAATTAGTTTCTGTGAATAATGCAAATCACACAGGTCTGAAAGAAAAAGACTAGTAAATTCTAAACTTCTACATGACAAAAAATAAAATAAAATATATTTACATCACTGTTAAAATGTTTTAAAAATAAAATAATGAAGTGGGAAAGGGTGCTTACAGTATTTGTAGACAAAGGACAAATACTTTTGTATTTGTTTACCTTTAATATTCAAAGAACTCCTGCCAGTACATAAAAAGGTATATAACTAAGGAGAAAATGCACAAGGAATTTACAGAAGGGCTAAAGATAACTAAGACAAGCATAATCTCAAATTCTAACTCTTTTTAAAAATTAAGATGAGAATTCAAAATGTGAAGGGGAAAGAAATCCCTCATAATCACAGCGTTGCTGAAGGCATCTGGTTCTTTCATTTATAACTTAATACAGTATTTTTGAATGGCAAAGAAGCATTTTCAATATCTAAAATGTACATTCCATTTCACTTCCAAGGAGTCATGCTTGAAAACTATTTACACGGCATAAATATATGTGTAGCTTTTCTAACAGCATCATTTATAATGATCAAGATAAAAAAAATCCTAAACATCTAAAAGTCTATCAACAGGAGACTGCAAAAAGAAATTACCATACCTCTATGCAAATGTGAGAACTGTACAGTCACTAAAAAGAATAGTCACTCTATTCATGGGAAAAGATGCTAAAGATTCACTGCTAACTGAAAGAAGAAGTTGCAAATATAATGTGCAACCTGCCACTGCACATGGACCATTCCTGGGTGAAGTATAAGCCAAAGTGGGAACAAAATAAACATCCTCTATTTGATCAGAGTTTTGAAATGAAGAAAAGGGGATGACATTCATTTCCTATGCTATACATTTTTTTATTTTGTGTCTCATTTTTTAATGTAAGAATGTTTTACTTTTGAAATCAGAAAATAAAAGTTTTGAAGTATGCAGTTATAATATATGTTTTTCTAGGAAGATGTTTTTAAAATACAAAGCTTGGAATCTCTTTGTTACATAAAGCTACTTGGCTGAGCCAAAATCTCCACCAAAAGGTAGCTGCTCACTAGATTTCATGGCCTCCTCTGATAGATGGCTTACGGGCACTCAGGATCTCAAGGCACGAACATGCCACATTAAAACACAAATTCAACAATACGAATGTTCTTACATTTGCCCTTTAAAAAAAAAAAAAAAAAAGAGAGAAAAGAGAAAACAGCCAAAACACTCATAAAAATATAAAATCGAAAATGAATAATTGATGAAATAAATTATTATCCCTTGTTTTTTTCTGCAATTCTAAAATTGGAAGAACCCTTTTAAACTTTAGCCTAAAAGTTGTTTCTCCCATCTGAAGAAACCAATGTTTGAGTTTTGAGATACAGTATATGTTCTCATAGTACTTGAAACCCAAAGAAAAACATACCTTCTGAGAGCATTTCTGGAATGTCTGCTTGATATCTAGGTCCCACTCTGATTTCACCTTTGTCAGCTAATAGTGTTTTCACAGAGGGGTCATAGACCAATGAGTAGAAAAAGGTATCCTGAAAACAAAAGACAGAAAATATCTGGGTAAACATTTTATATACAATAAATCCAATGTCATAATCATGAAACCAGAGGACTTCAGAGAGTGTATAAAATTTCACTTTGATGAATAAAATCATAAATGTTTAAGGAGAACATGAAGTTATTGCCATTATGAAATACAGTACAATATTAAATCAAGCCAAAACAAATAGCTTAGAATAAAAGTATATTATAAAGATTTATTATTTGTTCTAGTCTAGAAGAAAACCATTCAACTGCTCTAAAACAGGATTTTGAAAAGCTAGCAAAGTTAAGCCATGTAAATCAAAGGTAAGACACTAAAATAATCACTTAAGCCTCCAAAATCCACACTAAACAATACAGATGCCTTCATAGATAATAGGCACTCTTACTTTTCGAGTGTCCATCCACCATTTTATTAAAATAGTAAAATGAACACACACCCACATTAAATAAACTATAGAAGAGCTGAGCTTTTATACAGTTTACTAATTAAATTTATAATTAAGCATTTATTAGTTATAATTCTGTAGTTCTCCTTTAAATTCTGAAGTATTCATATACACACATAGGTCGGTATATTAACATACATGCATACCACCACCATCAGCACACCCACCTGACTATCTGTGGTCCCATAAAATGCAAGAGAGCCCTAGCTACTGAGCCTAATAGATAAGATGACCCAGCCACCAGTCCTTGGCTGAATTCTGGCCATCTGAGCCAGCAAAGTCTTGTCCCTGCCTTCGGCTGTGATCCTGAGGGTCACCTACTGCGTGAACCTCTCTATTATATTCTGGAAGGGCCCATCATTATCATCAGCACTTTACCAAGACCCAGCCAAGCAAACTGCAAATGAGAGTCAGATGATAAAGCTTTCTCCTTTCAAGGTCTTACAGGCTGTGATAACGGGAAAGGAGATACTAAGAAATTCTGCAGTGTTTTAATCATGCTTGACTGTCAAAAAAAGATTAAACAGTAAAACTGTTCAAAAGTTACACCATTATGTGGCAATCTATGCATGTAAAAAATGCTAAGGAAAAGAAAAAAAAATCTGCAGGTTATATAAACCTGCTTAATAGATTAGGGGGTGCAGGGCAAAGACAGACAGTACACAATCAGAATTGTTATTCCTTTATTTTTTAAGACAGGAGCGACAACGAATGTTACTAGGTAACTAAAGCTGTTACCACTGGCTCACCATCAGCTTTAAAAGTAGAGGCACTTCAGCCGAAGCCGGTTTAGCTCAGTGGTAGAGCGTCAGTCTGCGGACTGAAGGGTCCCGGGTTCGATTCCAGTCAAGGGCATGTACATTCGTTGCGGGCACATCCCCGGTCGGGGGTGTGTAGGAGGCAGCTGGTCGATGTTTCTCTCTCATTGACGTTTCCAGCTCTCTATCCCTCTCCCTTCCTCTCTGTAAAAAAATCAATAAAATATATTTAAAAAAAATAAAAAATAAAAATAAAAGTAGAGGCACTTCAGGTCACTTTTAGTCTGTGAAATGTTAGTATAGTATTCCATAAAAACAAGGTTCTGTGCCCTGGCCAGTGTGACTCAGTTAGTTGGGATCATCCTATAAACCAAAAGGTTGCTGGTTCCATTTCCAGTCGGGGTGTGTATGGGAGGCAACCAATTGATTTTTTCTCTCACATTGATGTTTCTCTCTCTCTCACTCTCTCTAAAATCAATGATATTGAGTAAAGATTTTTTTAAAACTTTTTGTTAAAGTTTTCTTAAACATACTGCTACAGGTCAGATCCTATCTCAAAGATTGACAAAAGAGTAAATGGTGAAAAAACAAACACCTTTGCAAACTTTCACCTATTACAGTCCTTAGCATATCCAAATGGCTAAAAATAACATAGAAGACAAAAAATAACATTTTTTAAAAACCCACTCGACAATCAAATAAACCAATAAAATACACAGAAACATATTGAATGTTTCCTCCTTTTAATTCTGCTTCTGTGCTCATTTCTAGCATTATCATTTTCCACATTATCATCAACCATTCTGTTGGACAGTCTGATGTGAGTGCTCTTTTCCTTTTCTGAATTTCACAAGCATAAGTTATAAGGACTATTAGCCTTTTTTCTGCCTTAAATATTAATTTCCCTTTAGTTTTCTTAATTAGAGTTTCTAATACATAGTAGATCCACATATTTTATCAATCCTTTCATTTATGTTTTTTTTTTTCATTTGAGATAAGAGGACAAAACTTGAGCATGATAAGAAATATGCCCCTTTAATTCTTTTTTAAAAATACACACACACACACACACACACACACACACACACACACACACACAAAGATTTCGGGGAAACAAAAGCACCATGAAACTATATATAAAGGTTAAATACTGAAGCAACACCATCAGTAAAACATTTCCCCATAATACAAATGCTAATAAGTCACATACAACTGTGGAATATTCTGTTTATAAGCATTTCCTCCCTTCATTTAAGCACATGCTCGAATTCAACCTGCTAAACATAGATAAAATTTTTCTTGTTGAAGTTTACAGAAAGAAATATTTTTAGTTGACTAAGTTTATTGGGGTTCCAGGAAAGAAAGCACACCACCAATGGTAAAATCTCATCTAAAGAGTCTAAAAGAAAAGCTATTTATTAATAACGACGCTGGCAACAAAACAAACAAACAAAAAGCAGGAAGGAAGACCAATTACAGTAAAGTCATGTTTTCATGAAGCCAAAATATTTCTTCTACCAGCTAAATCACGTGCTGTACTTTATACAGCTTTTCATTACCGACTGAAAAGAGAGAAACAGACAGACACAGGGTTTTTTGTCAATTCTTGCCTCAACCAGAAAAATCGAATTATCCAAATGCATTTTAGTGATTATACTTTTACTATAATACTGCTATGGTGGTGCAATAATTTGGTACAAAAAGAAATTAATTCAAAAGATATGGCTTTATGCACAAAAAAAAAGAAGAAGAAAGAAAAACACACAGAAAACAAGTATAATTGTGAATTACCTCTTTATCGAGATATGACAATACTGACTCTGTCTCATTCAGAAGGGCAACGCTGCATTTCCCCCTGTTGAAAGAGGGGAAAAATGAATGAACAAATAAGCGTTTAAGAAAGGCCACGCCCCCTTCACAGTGGTGATGTATGCAAAGTAAGGAATATTCAAAATGTCAAGTTGCTATTAAAAACCCAGATGGCAGTTAGGAGTATTTGTAAATGTATATATGTAAGGCTGGCTTTACAATCCTGTGTTGCATAACCTAAAACATAAGACTGTTTTTGTAGACATTTATAGAGAAGCTAACCTCTATAAATGGAAAGAACTGTTAGACGGCAAATGCTTATATCATAAAGCACTCTGTAGTTATTTCTTAATTATACAAGAAAAAAAAGAGTACAATGAAAAACCTTCAGATTAAGTCAGTTTCTGAGTTTATAATGATATATATGAGGAGGTTTTATATTTTTCAAGCAAAGACATTATATAAACAATGAAAATCAGTATCTAATATCAACTCCAGATTTTTAAAGAAGCCACTGCATATGATAACCTAAAATAATACACATTCATATCAGGATTAACTAACTTACCTTTATTGAAATTGCTCTAAATACTAGTTAAAATTTAAACACTAGGAACTTCTACAGAGCAAGGGGCAAAATAACGATCGACAGGCTTGTGCGGACCTTGAAGTTTGATAGCAATTACCTTTGATCCTAAGTCCTGCGTCTGAGTTTGGAAATTATGTCAATTTTAAAAGGCTGGTCTAGACTTGAGAAAAAGGTTATCCAGGAAAAGCATTTTAAAAATTATTCTCACTAGCTTGAAAAATTCAACATAGTTATATATGTGACAGGAGGATTTTTTAAATATATTTTTATTGATTTCAGAGAGGAAGGGAGAGAGAGGAATAGAAATATCAATAATGAGAATCATCAATTGCTACCTCTTTCAGGACCCCCACTGGGCAACATGACCTCCTTATTCATGGACTGATGCTCAACCATTGAATTTTGACTGTTCGAGTTTTCATCAGGTCTCAAAAATATTTTCTAAATATGTTATTTAATTTTCTAAACAATTCAAACTTGCTCCCCACAAAATAACAAGCAATAATAAACACATTATGGGAATATAGTCCACCGTCTATATATATAAAAGGCTAAGTGACTGTCAGACCATCCAGTACCTCTGACACACACTGACCAAGAGGGGGCAGGTGCTCGATGCAGGAGCTGCCGAGCTGCAGTGACTTGCAGGGGTGGTTCTGGGTGAAGAACCCTGAAACCAGAGAGGAGGGAGCCAGATTCCTTGCGGGGCTGCGTGATTCCTCCTTCGGCCATGGGTTATGCTGTTGCTGGGGCTCTGTTGGCCCTGAATCTGGTTTACTGCACACTTGCATTTGCATTCCACACCCTGTACGACAGCAACTTTGCAGAATGCCTTCTCATACTCTGGGACCCCTCAGGGGATGTCGGAGAGCCAGTTTCAGCCGATCCCCACAGGCAGAGCCAAGGGACCCCACCTGCTCACTCCGCAGATGCCCTCGAGCTGCGGCACCTCCCCAGGTGCAGCCTGCTGGGAAGGGACAGAGGGAGGTTGGCTCCAGGGCCTGTCTGGCCTGCCTTGCCCAGTCCTGCCCCATTGGCCATCACCTGCATTAGTCCCTGCACCAGAGCCAGCACCTCGAGCCAGTGCTGCAAGCCAGCATGGCAAGCCCGAAGACCCGAGCTTGAGTTTTCTTTTTCTCCCCCTATTCACTCCACTGGTGCCCTTTGAGCCCCAGAATTCTAATCAATTTCCTTTCAATGTGCACGACTCCGTGTACCGGGCAGGCCACTAGTATTACATTAACTATGTATGTTACCAGGTGAGTGGGGGTGGGGGTGTGAGTATCACTTGGTAGGAAAGTATAGGCCCTGGCCAGTGTGACTGGGTTGATTGAAGCATTATCACATACACCAATGGGTGGCAGGTTCAATTCCCAGTTGGGGCACATGCCCAAGTTGAGGGTTCAATCCCTGGTTGGGCACCTGTTGGTTTCTCACATCTCTCTCTTCCTCTCCCCAAACTCCTCTTCTTCTGTCAAAAAAATCAATTAAACGTTTTTTAAGTATATGATTGTCTAATCACTATGGTATACACCTGAAACCAATTAAAATAATATTGGTGCAAGCTGTATTAGAAAAAATTAAATTAAGAAACAATTCAAAGGAAAAAAATACAAGTAAAATACTAGTACATAGGTTAAAAAAATAGTTTTCTAAACATTTTGCAACACTTCTATATTTCTCAAATTTAAAATCATTTTCTCCTCATAAAAACATCTTTTTCTGGTAATCACCTTAGGTTAATTAACATCACTTCAAAAGATAAATCCAATCTCTATTTTGGTTACCAAGAGTTATAAAGGCTTTCTATTTTTCTAATATATTTTATTCATGCATATTACTGAAGCAGAAAATGTAACATTATTACTTCAATACACATAATAACACTCAAAAGTCAACAACGACCTGACATGCTTTCACAAAGGACAAAATTATGAGTGGGAAATTGACCTGTTGCTGTAAGCACATCACAGCAGCCACAGAGCTTCTGACCTGTGGCTATGTGCTTCCCCGTGCAGCATGCTTAAGTAATAAATGGGCTTTCCAAAAATAAGCTCCATTTTTTTTTTTGCCTCAATAACAGGTAACAAAGCAATATTTGTAACAATTAATACATTGCCTAGAAGAAATAAACTCGTTTTTGTTAAGTTCTCAAAAGTTGAGTATTTTTTAATGGGAGGAGCAAAATCTGCTAAATGTTATCTTAATAGATACCACTTTCTTTAATAGTCACTTGAATTTTAAAGGCTTAACCGTTACTGGAAATTCATATAAACTATATAGCATACTCAAAGTCTCCTCCATACTGTCTGAAAGGACAAGAGAAGTTAAACTGAATAATTAAATCATTATTTTCATAATTATATTAGGAGACAGGAAATACTGGTTATAGTGTTTTATAGGCACATGATTAAAAAACACCAACAGGATACCTCAGCCAATCTAAAATATAAATTATTTGGGCAATACAGCTTTTATGCAAAAATGAAAGGATAATAGGTGATTTTAGTTTTAAATTTTCTTTACTGTAACTATATTGCACTTTTCCCAAATTAAAAATGAAAATCCAACACAAAAATATTCATGTACACGTATTAACAGCTAACAAAGCAGGATGTTGAGTCAGAATTATTTTATTAAGTATGATTACATAATAAACACGAACTACATGCCAAGAGTTGCTGAGAAAAGTATTTAAATGAGATTTAAAGTGTTGTCTTCCTTTATGATGAACAAATGTTGGCACATAAACACATGCTAAATTCTAAGCAAACCCCAAACTAAAGGAATTATTATCAAACTCTGAATATGATTTATTTTAAATCTCAAGCAATGATCCTCATTTTAATCTTCCATAATACTGTAATTCTTAGGGAATAAAGATACCCAAACATGATGATAAAATATATCAAAGACCATACACAAAGAAAGAACACTCCAGGCCCATATAATTATTCATACTGCTTTTCTACAGGGAACCATGCAAGAGCAAGGAATTTCCATGGAGATAATATACTATCTCACAGAACATTCAAAAAGGTCTTTAAAATATACTGTCTCAGAAACTGCGCTGGGATAGATGGACAGGTGAATAAACACAACACAACGTGGTGCCATGTTAATGGCAGATGCTGATCACCCTACTGTTTGCTTATCAGGATGTCCTGTATAATCCAAGAAATTCAAAAACCGTATGTAAAAGTGTGCATACAGGTAATATATTTCTTTTACCTAAAGAAGTTATCAATCTGAATAAGTGAAAAGGAAAGTTTAAATTAGCATCCATTTCCATACTGCCTGAAGAATTTCCTTCAGTTTCATAAAACTGCAGCTTGTGGAATGATTCAGAATGTACCATCCCTGCTTGGAAAAAATCCAAATTTCTTAGGCACACCAGTCTGAATGAATCCAAGGATCTTGGGGAAGGATCAGGAATCTACCTGATCAACAAGCATCGCCAGTGACCTTAAGGCACGCTGAACTTGGAATACCACTACAGGTGCAAGGTCTGCTTTAAACTTAGTCCTTATTCTTCTTTATAGCCATTATTTCTTCTTTTTTTAAAGGCATTTTTCTTGCTGGCCTTATGAGTTACATTTGTTCTGAAGACTTTTTCATATAAAAAACCATGCTAGGTTCTGTGATTGGAAATTCAGCAAATAGACAGTTTTATGAAGCATTGTATCCATTAAGTACAATAAACAACCAAATAAAAAATGAAGTTCAAAGATCCACCATGATTTCTTCAGAACGATTAGAAATTCTGAAGAAAATTATTTTTAAACCTGAATTCTATGCTTAAAAAAAATCTTCATTCAATGGTGAAAAACATTTTCAGGTACGTAAACACTAAAAACTTTTTACATTTTAGAAGACTAATGGAAAGGAAAAAGCAAAACAATTGCCATACTCTAAGGAAAACAGAAGGTTGTACAAGAAAGAGTACCAGTATGTGAAGAATATTTACAAGTCATAAAATACAAAGATTGATCATTAAGTTAAACAGAAGTTGTGATATATTGGAAACAGAAGGGAAAGTGAAGGGAAGGAAGAGGAAGTAAAGAGAGATTTCTAAAACTGAAAAATTAACAGTAGCGGTGTCAAAGTGGTAAACATGCAGAAGCCACTGCCAGAGAAGCTGAAAATGATTGCAATGGGGGAACAGGGCCCATGACTATTCAATATTATTAGACAGCAATAGACATTTATTTGATTTTAAAAATAAATTTAAAGCAAAAGGGGGGATCCTCATTAGATAAAGTGCATAAATTTGTATTGGTTACAATGTTATTGACATATGTTGTGGGGGCTATCCTGGTAGGGTAATATTTAAGTAGCTTTCCTGGCCTCTAACCCACTGGATGACAGTAGCATTCTCACAGCAAGTTTTGACTACCAAAACTGTCCAGACCTTGCCAAAAATCCCCGAGGACATAAAACTGCTTAACAACTGGTTA